ACTAGGTTGTCGCGCTGGTAGAAAGGCGAAGGACGGCGAGGGAGCTGACCCGACCAGTTAAGGAAGAGGAGTTAAGCACCCCGGGTTAAACTAGCAGCACCAAGCCCTAGACTCGGGTGACTGGGCCACCAGGAAAGCCAAGGTGGAAAAAGAGAGGGGCGGAAGGCCCACCAGAAGCCACAAAGAGTCGGAGTACTGAGGGAGAAGAGGATCATGATGTTAGAAAGCCCAAACCAAGAGACCAAAGGAATGCCTAGGGCCCCATACAGATGTTACGCCTGCAGGGAGTGGGGACACATAGGTGCACAGTGTCCCAATGCTGAGGAGCCTATGCAGTGTAACCTGGGGAACTGGGTAGGTCCATGCTCCCTAATCAACCTTGTGGGGGTCTCACTAACCCCACATATGTATACCATGTGATGAAGTGGGATTGTTCTTAATGTTTCCTCTGAATACTATAGGGGTGTGTGACAGGTTTCAATCGGTCTACCGAGCCCCTAGGGGGTGATGGAGAGCTATGGTCCCAGGGGCAGGCCTTAGTGTCACCTTTCAGGCGCTGGGGAATTAGTGGAAAAGGTGTGCCGGCACGGGTTGGCGGCGCGCGATTCTGCTACCCAAGGCAGGTTGGCCGGGGTAGGGGAACGCAGGCCTACCTACCTCCACTGCGTTCCAGCCTAGGGCCCTGACGGTGGCGGGAGGCGAAGGTCCCCAAATACACCCACCACACGATGCAGTTCTGTTCCTAGGCTACTTCCTACCCGCTCTCTCAAGCGGGCCTCTCCGGTCCCTCCAGCTCGTCCAGGTATTCAGCTGCTGGCAGCTCCCGCTCCCCCTCTGTGTTGGGCTCACGCTGGCCTGGGTTACCGCCTGGCCCCTCCGGGTACTCAGCAGCTGGCAGTCCTGGTCGCCACAGGCCTTCCTCCCGGTCAGGCTCCTCCTGGCCCAGAGCCTCCCCTGGGTTAGCAGCAGGGTCTGGCGGGAGCAGCCTGTGTCTGTCTCCCTCTCTGGTGCTCTCCTCACTGGGCAAAGGGCCCCGCCCTTTGTACTTCCTGTCCCACTCCTCCCCTTCCGGGGATTGGCAGAAGCTTGGTCTGGCCCCGCCCACTCAGGCTGAGAGGGTGGCTCTTTACACTCTGGTGCGGAGGGAAGCCACCCTGGCTCCCTACAGGGTGCCTCAGTTTCCCCTATGCATTTGTAACCCTTCTGCCCGTCAGCGTTGGCAGCAACAAGGGCCGGGTTCAATATCTAGGGGATCCATTCCAATAACACAATGCAAACCGGCTCGAGCCCCCACCCAGTGACCTGGGACAAATATATACCACCCCCTCTGGGCGCCTCCAAGAGGCAATACTTCCCCTCTCGCAAGCACATAGTCTGAGTGTAGCAAAAGCCTTTTAATAACAGAGAGAAACAATGTGGCATTATGTTTGGGAAACACCACCAACAGGATTCATAACAAAACCCATGAGCAAAAACCCACCCCAAGCAAATTGGGGCATGCCCTTTCCCTTTGGTTCTTGAGTCCAGCAACCCCAAATCACTCAAAGTCCCAAAAGTCCAATGCCCCAAAAGTCTCTGTCCCTGGTCAGGGCAGCCCCAGAGTTCGAAAGTTTATCTGCGGAGCTTTACCTCCCAACCTGGGTGGAAATGGGACAGGGGTAAGAGGCACCTTACATGATCTGAAGCTGACCGCCCCACGAACTCCTTCGCTCGGCTGCGCTCCGCTCCGCCAGCCGCCCCACGAACTCCTTCGCTCAGCTCCACGGCCCACAAGCAGCTCCTGCCATCCACAAACTGCTCCACAATATATCTTCAGGCTCCCCCACTACTTAACACAACACTCAGTGATTTCAGCTCTTAGGTGAATTCAGCTTGTAGTAGGGGAGCCCCAGTGCTGGTGCACTGTCAGCCCAAAATGAGCTCAGCAGCCTATAACTAGACTTCTAATGAAATCAAAATTAGCTCTGATATTCCACAGTGGGGAGAGGAGGAAGTGCAATTAGCATGTAAGGCCCTCACCAAGGGGCCCATGCCACCAAGTATTAGTACTTGTCCCCAGCCTCTCTCCATTCACACAGTTTTGGAACCCATGACCCTTGCCTAGCGAGTGCTACTTAGTTGATGGTGAATCCCTCCATCATAACAAAAGGCCACGTACAGTTCCAAGCACAGTTCCCATAATCAGGGTAATAACAATTTATTCTTCCTGCCCCAATAACAGAGACACTGGGGATCCCACAGCAGCCAAAGTGACCATTTGGGCAGCTATGGTCTCATTCTAGGCGGGGTGGGTGTGCCTATGCAAATGAGATCAGCCCCTGAAGTTATTTTCCACAACTTGCCACACCTCACCACCAGATGTCAGGGTGGAGCTCATCCTGACACTGCTTACATCCTCCCCCCAGCCGAGACTTTGTCGTCCCGACAAATCACACTCCCTTTATACCAACTCATTGGTTTCCTCCAAAGGGCCTCAGGAAGCCCACTTTAGCTTCCACAAGCCTGTGTGCTAAATGTATTGGCTCCTCACTCGTCACCCCAGGTGCATCATAAGTTAACCGTTTCACTGGTCTTATCACCCTGTCTCGTCTATTGAGAATCTCTGTTGCCGAGGTAGGGGGAACATCCTCTTGAGTGACGGATGGAGAGGCTTCCCTGGAGGGTCCCTCGGCTACTGGCGTAGGCCCCTGCACTCCTAGTTCTAACGCTGGAGGGTCCAAGGTGCCCAGGACATCCTCTACCTGTCTGTCCCCATTGTCCAATAACCTGTGTGTGTCATCACAGGGGGGTCTCATCAGCAGCACCGGGGTATCAGAAAGGGGCCTAAATAGTTCCGCCATTGGGTTTAGGGCGGAAGAGGGAAAACTCTCGTTTGGTTCAGCTGATCGAGACTGAAATCTTGTCTCCATCCCAGGATACACCAGGGTTGTGTCTTCCTCCTCAGACTCACTCTCAGATGTGCAGAATAGGGGTAAGTCAGCTGCAGGGGGCCCACTGTCTGTGTTGGATGGCGGCTTTGGTCTAGCACCTCTGTTCTGCCCGGCGGCCCTGCCGAGGCCCATCTCACAAGGGGTGCTTACCAATTCCCCCACAGGGAGCAAAAGGTTTCTATGCACCGTCTTTATTTGCCCTGGACAGTCTTCAGGTTTGATCTTGTAGACCGGCAGATCTCCCAGCTTTTCCATCACCAGGTAAGGTATTGCCTTCCATCTGTCAGCTATCTTGTGTTTGCCAGCAATACCCAAATTTCGCAGCAGGACTCTGTCCCCCGGCTGGAGCTCCTGCGAACGCACTCTAGCATCATATCGATGTTTGTTGCGGTCTGCGTTCTTCCGAGCCGCAGCGGTAGCTAAGTGATAAGCATCCCGCAGCTTTTCTCTTAGTCGGGATACATATTGCTGATGAGTTTCATAGCTATCTCCATCCTCTGATACACCAAAGCACAAGTCTATGGGTAATCTTGGTTCTCACCCAAACATCAAGAGATATGGGGTGACTCCCGTAGCATCGTTCTTTGTGGCATTGTAGGCATACAATGAAATGCGACATGCTGACTCCAGGTTGCCTTCTGCTCTGGTCGCAAAGTTCCCAACATATCTAATAGGGTTCGATTGAACCTCTCTGGCTGAGGATCACCTTGGGGGTGATAAGGCGTTGTCCTAGACTTTTTAATTCCTGCTATCTTCAGCACCTCCTTCAGAAGGTGACTCTCAAAATCCCGCCCCTGATCAGAGTGTATCCGAGCCGGGAATCCATAGACTGAGAAATATTTGTCCCACAATACTCGAGCAACGGTGGTGGCCCTCTGATCACGTGTGGGATATGCTTGTGCATACCGTGTAAAATGGTCAGTCACTACTAGAATGTTTCCAACATTCCTCTTGTCTACCTCTACAGACAAGAAATCAATGCATACCAACTCCAAAGGTTTGTTGCTGGTGATGTTGTTGAGATATGCAGCCCTCGTGGGCAGAGTTTTCCTTTGAACACATCGAGCGCAAGTCTCACATTTCCTGCGAACATCTTCAGCCATTCGGGGCCAATAGAACCTACTACGAATAAGTTCCAGGGTCCTCTCCATCCCTAAATGCCCAAAGTCATCATGCAGGGCCCTCATGGCCAGGGCTCTGTACTTTTTTGGCAGTACTAGTTGTGCTCGTTGTTTTTGTAAAGGGTCAGTGGTCATTCGGTGTAGCACTCCCTGAATCAGTTTTAGTTTGGTCCATTCTCTCAATAGTAGTTTACCCTCCGGGTTAGGTGGGACAACCGCAGCTGGGCTTCGCCCCTCCCTTTTGGCAAGTAGTGTATCACAAATGTCAATATCTTGCCGCTGGGCTTCTTGCCAGTCAGCCGCATTGAGCATGGGCAAAGGAGATTGGTCTAATGCAATATAGTTCACTGAAGCAGAAGGCATGCATTCAGGGGGCAGGCCCAAAGCTTCTGCAACACATCCCTGAAGGCCCTCACGGGCCTCTGGCTCTCGGCGACTCACACTGCAAATAGCTCTCACTCCATCTGTGGGTATCACAGCAACTTCTGGAGCCTGCGGACGCCTGGACAATGCATCTGCATCTACATTGCTTCTCCCTGATCGGTACTGAATGCTGAACTCATAGCTAGCCAAGGCAGCCACCCATCTCTGCCCTGTAGCATCCAGCTTAGCACTTGTTAACACATAAGTCAGTGGATTGTTGTCCGTCCACACCTGGAACTGAGCACCATACAAGTAGTCTCGAAATTTCTCAGTGATGGCCCATTTCAAGGCCAAAAATTCCAGCTTGTGGGTGGGATAGCGAGTTTCACTATCAGACAATCCTCGGCTGGCAAAGGCTACAGGTTTACATTTGCCTTCCACTTCCTGGTACAGGACTGCTCCCAGACCCTCCAAACTGGCATCAGTATGCAGGATAAATGGTTTGCTTGGGTCAGCAAAAACTAGAACTGGAGCATGAGTTAGGCAAGTAATGATTTCTCGAAAAGCCCTTTCACATCTCTCATCCCACCGTGGCCCAAATGGTGCAAAGGGGCCATTGTGTCTCTGCACAGGAGGCTTTGGGGACCTCCCCTTATTCTTGGACTTAGATTTGTTCTTGCTGGACTGATGTCCCCTGGTAAGATCATTCAGAGGCTTTACAATCGTAGCATAGTTTTTCACAAATCTGCGGTAGTAGCCACTAAATCCAAGAAAGGTCTTGAGTTCTCTGTAGTTACTTGGACGTGGCCATGTAGTGAGTGCTTCTATTTTATCAGGATCAGTACTCACACCTTCTTGGGACACAATGTGACCCACATACTTCACTGAGGTTCTGCAGAACTGGCATTTGTCAATTGAAAGCTTCAGACCATAATCCTCCAACCTATCAAGCACTTTAAGAAGTCTTTCTTCATGCTCCTCTAAGGTTCTTCCAAACACAATCAGGTCATCCAAATAAACTAACACTTGCAGTAAATTCATGTCTCCCACAACTTTCTCCATGAGACGTTGAAAGGTGGCAGGTGCTCCAGAAATCCCTTGGGGCATGCGTTCGAACTGATAAAACCCTAATGGGCAGATGAAGGCTGTCTTCTCCTTATCTTCTTCTCCCAGAGGGATCTGGTAGTATCCACTTCGAAGATCCAACACAGAGAACCACTAGCTTCCCAGCAAACAGTCTAAGGCATCTTGCACTCGAGGCATAGTGTACTGGTCGACCACAGTACGGCTGTTTAGGGTGCGGTAGTCAATACACATCCGGATTTTCCCATTCTTTTTGCGGACTACCACAATGGGTGAGGCGTATGGGCTGCGGGACTCTGTAATGATGCCATTCGCAGCCAGCTCCTGAAGATGATGTCGCACATCTTCCATCTCAGAGAGAGCAATCTTCCTAGATCTCTCCCTGAAACGTCGAGAGTCATGTAGTCTGATATTGTGCTCTACTCCTTTTGCACATCCCACATCCCACTCATGCAGTGAGAACACCTTGGATCTTTCACAAAGTTTCTTCCTCAGGCGATCTTTCCAGTCCTCGGACACTGGTGAATCTCCAAAGTCAAACTTTGCTGGGTCTATTGTCGGAACTTGAGTTTCACACTGGGGTTTTACAATCGACTCAGGCTCAAAGAGGTCTGCTATCTTTTGTCCTTGCTTCACAAAAATATCACGACTCGTTTCATTAGCAATCAGTATAGTCACCCTTTCCTGGGCTTCAGCAGGTAGGGTTATGACTCCACTGGGGACCAGCACTCCTTCAGGGAGCTCTCCTCCCATCGGCTGCTCTATCATTGCTAACGTCCCTTTACTGCCTTTCAGACAGGTACTCATGACAAGCACTTCTTGCTCCGTCCTTGCAGGCACTACTAAGGGGGTTGTGCCCGCGTACTTCAGTGCCCCAAGCGGTAGCTCAGATGTGTCCCTTTTAGCGCTCTCAATTTTCCTATAGGCTTCAGCACAAAGCGTATGGATCATCAGGGTATTCAGGTATTGGTCCCCAGCCCGCCTTCTGCAGTAATCCGCGAGTACCTTGAAGAGACTGGAGTTGGTCCCTATCAGCACAGACACATCAGAAGTCCCTTTAGGGTCAGGGCATATTAAGGCCGCTGTGTCTACCTCTTCTCTTACCCCAGCAACCTCCTCTGGGAATTCCAGGTGCACTATGACATACCCTTGGTAGGGGTATTCATCCATGCTGAGGCCACACAGGCCAAGGCCAGTCAGTGGCTGTATAGGCAGGTGCCTAAGCATCTGTTGGTAGAATGACTGAAATATAATAGTCACTTGAGATCCAGTGTCAAGCACTGCTTTACACTCCACCCCTTCGATCCTCACCATGACCTCTGCTCGAGGCCCTATCAGTCCTGCAGGGATCCCAGCTGGACAGTCTTTTCTGGGGGAATCTTCAAATCCTGCAGACCTGGGGGGTCCCCGTCCCCAGACCCTCTGGCAGCTACCGGATCTCTCCCAACTGATCCTCAGCTTTCCATACACTAAGGAGGGGTTTTCTTCATTACGGCACTTGGCAGCACTGTGTCCATCCTGACCACATCGGTAGCAGAAGAATTGACCTTTCCCCCTTCGCCTGGGGGGGATGGTGGCTCTAAGTGCAGGCTTCTCAATCGCCACAGTTTGAGGCTTCTTATTCCTGGAAGTCTTAACTCGGTCAACGGTACTTTGCAGCTCAGCTATCCGTTCCGTCAGGACCTGCATTTGTTGGGCAAGTTCCTCTCTGGTGCTCACCATCAGTACACTGGCCGTTTGCAGTGGTGTTGTGCTGGCTGGCTCCGATGTTTGGGCTTCCCAAAACTCACTGGCAGCCTGCCTTTCTTCCTCCTCTCGGACCTCTTTTATCAGCTGGGAGTAACTTGGGGGATGTTCCCGTCGTTCTCTTAGCTGGAGATGAAGTAGAATCGGGTTCTGATACTGAGTTCCTCTTACAATTTGAGCCAGTCTGGTCTGATCCATCTGCTCAGCAGTCACTGCTCCCCTCATGACAGCTCTCTGAAGCAGTCTCTCCAGTCTCTGTATGTAGGCTGAAGCCTTCTCACCCTTTTGTTGTCGGGAATTAAGGAATTTACAGTAGCTGTCTTCAGGGCCCTCTACGCTCCCAAAGTTGTGTTCAAGGGCCTCTAGGCAGTCCTTCACACTGACCCCAGGGTCAATGAGCTTCAGGGTGCGAATCACATCTAATGCTGGGCCGCCAAGGCTCTCTATGAGGCATCTTTGCTTTTCTGCATCTGGTACGGCCCACTCTTGCAGCATTTCAGTGGTATGCTCTAACCAGGGTTCAAACTCCTCCTCCCCAGCAAATAATCTTAACTTACGACAAGAATCTGACTCAGCATGGGGCAGCACAACCTTTTCCAATATTTGCCCCAGAGCTTTTGTCCAATCATCAGCCGAGGCTGCAGCCTCTGAGCTAGAAGCTGCTGAGCCAGGGCCCAACAAACCTGACATATTAGCCATTATACAAACAGTAATTTCCTCAAAATATAAGCACAAAAAAAAATATAAATTGTTTCCCAATGTAGTGGATCACTCAACAGGTGTTTGCGAGGGGTACTGACCCAGGCGATCCCGGACGAGCCCCCAAAAATGTAACCCTTCTGCCCGTCAGAGTTGGCAGCAACAAGGGCCGGGTTCAATATCTAGGGGTTCCATTCCAATAACACAATGCAAACCGGCTCGAGCCCCCACCCAGTGACCTGGGACAAATATATACCACCCCCACTGGGCGCCTCCAAGAGGCAATACTTCCCCTCTCGCAAGCACATAGTCTAAGTGTAGCAAAAGCCTTTTAATAACAGAGAGAAACAATGTGGCATTATGTTGGGGAAACACCACCAACAGGATTCATAACACAACCCATGAGCAACAAAAAACCCACCCCAGGCAAATTGGGGCATGCCCTTTTCCCTTTGGTTCTTGAGTCCAGCAACCCCAAATCACCCAAAGTCCCAAAAGTCCAATGCCCCAAAAGTCTCTGTCCCTGGTCAGGGCAGCCCCAGAGTTCGAAAGTTTATCTGCGGAGCTTTACCTCCCAACCTGGGTGGAAATGGGACGGGGGTAAGAGGCACCTTACGTGATCTGAAGCTGACCGCCCCATAGCGGCGCTCCGCTCCGCCAGCCGCCCCATAGCTCCATAGCGGCGCTCCGCTCCGCCAGCCGCCCCACAAACTCCTTCGCTCCACTCCGCTCCGCCAGCGGCCCCACGAACTCCTTCGCTCAGCTGCGCTCCGCTCTGCCAGCCGCCCCACGAACTTCTTCGCTCCGCCAGCCACCCCACAAACTCCTTCGCTCAGCTCCACGGCCCACAAGCAGCTCCTACCATCCACACACTGCTCCGCATCGAACTGCTCCACAGTATATCTTCAGGCTCCCCCACTACTTAACACAACACTCAGTGATTTCAGCTCTTAGGTGAATTCAGCTTGTAGTAGGGGAGCCCCAGTGCTGGTGCACTGTCAGCCCAAAGTGAGCTCAGCAGCCTATAACTAGACTTCTAACGAAATCAAAATTAGCTCTGATATTCCACAGTGGGGAGAGGAGGAAGTGCAATTAGCATGTAAGGCCCTTACCAAGGGGCCCATGCCACCAAGTATTAATACTTGTCCCCAGCCTCTCTCCTTTCACACAGTTTTGGAACCCATGACCCTTGCCTAGCGAGTGCTACTTAGTTGATGGTGAATCCCTCCATCATAACAAAAGGCCACGTACAGTTCCAAGCACAGTTCCCATAATCAGGGTAATAACAATTTATTCTTCCTGCCCCAATAACAGAGACACTGGGGATCCCACAGCAGCCAAAGTGACCATTTGGGCAGCTATGGTCTCATTCTAGGCGTGGTGGGTGTGCCTATGCAAATGAGATCGGCCCCTGAAGTTCTTTCCCACAACTTGCCACACCTCACCACCAGATGTCAGGGTGGAGCTCATCCTGACACTGCTTACATATAAAAAGGAGATATTTTAAGCAATAACTGACTGCCCAGAAGGGGTAGATCTATGTTCTTTTTGTTTTTCAGAAAATCAGAGAAAACTGATGCCAGCTGAAAAGCAATTCAACATATCATGAATTTACTGGCACAATAGGAATTATGTTCTTTGTTTTGTGTTTGTCTTGTGGCCAGAATTTCTGTGTTTAATTTTTCATAGGACAGTTTAGTTTAAAACTAAATAGAAGGGTTAAATCAAAATGCAGTATCTAAGGAACACTCCTCCTGGTGCATTATGTGCTTGCTTTTAGACAATGGTGGGCCCCAAACCAAAATGGAGTCACATATGCTAACTTTTCCTTAACACTAGGGACAATGAAATATGTGTGGGCAGTTTGCACAGTATGCAGGAGGAAGGGTAGGATGCAACACAGTCAGCCAGCATCCCAACACAAATGCATGCATACATCATCAGTAAGGCTATGTTTTAGTCATGGGTATTTTTAGTAAAAGTCATGGACAGGTCATGGGGAGTAAACAAAAATTCACGACCCATGACCTGTCCATGACTTGTATTATATACCCCTAACTAAAACTTAGTCTGGGTGCCGCGGGTGCTAGGGGAAACGGCCCAGGGGGCACCGCAAGTGCTGGGTGGGGGTGTTTCCCAGGACCCCCACTGGTGCTGGGGGGGGGCAGGTGGCGCATGGCCTGGGACTCCCACTGGTGCTGGGAAGGAGGGTTGCCAGGGCCAGCATGCTTCTCCCCTGGCTCCGCACAGTTCCCCAGAAGCAGCTGGTGCATCCCTGCAGCTCCTAGGGGGAGCGCCATGCGCTGCCCCCGCCATGAGTGCGGGCTCCACAGCTCTCATTGGCTGAGAACTGCAGCCCGTGGGAGCTGCGGGGGCACTGCAAGCAGGGGCAGCATGCAGAGCTCCCTGACCCCTTTGCCTAGGAACTGCAGGGACATGCTGGCAGCGTCCGCAGAGCCCCCCACACCCCTTGAGGTCAGCGCCACTCCTCACCCCAACCCTGTGCCCCAGCCCTGAGTCCTCTCCCACACCTAAACTACTGCTGCTGCTAGGAGGAGGGGTGTGCGGTGGCCTGAGATTGCCCCAGCGGCAGCGAGTGCGGGGGCCCAGGAGCTGCCCGAGCTGCTTGGGCAGCCCTGGAGCCAGCTGCAGCAGCCGCTGCAGAAGTCACGGAGGTCATGGAAAATCACGGAATCCGTGACTTCTGTGACCTCCCTGACAAACACGCAGCCTTAATCATCAGCCACGTCTCAAAAGACACAATGTGCCACAGTCAGGCCACCACCAATGGGAGTTCAGGATGCAGAAGTGTGTTTGGAGCACTGGGCATGTGTATTAGGAGGCGCGTGCATTATGTTTCAGATTTCTGCTGTGAGATTGTTTGCTGTTGTCCTGATTTCCAGTATTGCCAACCCCAAACATTCAAAGGTAGCAAGTCAGGCCCCACAAAATCATGAGATTGGCTTAAAATCACGAGATTACAAAAACAATAAATTTGAGGTGCCCTTTGTTTGTCTCCTGGTTTCTGATTCTTTACCGGGCTTCACCTTTTCAAACTTTCCTCTACAACACCCTGCCCCACCCCATGGGGTAGGACCCCCACCCACCCTGCAGCATACGAGCCCCCAGCCCCTTCCGCTCTCACCCCACCCTGCTCTGCCTCAACTGGTAGGACGGAGCCCACGCGGCCCGCAGGTCCGGCCCCTCCTGGTTTCCATGGTGACCGGAGCGAGGGCGCGCGGAGTCACGTGAGGCACGCGGAAGCGGAAGCAGGCGGCCGGGCTGGGGCCGCCGGGCGGGCGCTGAGGAGAACCGGACGGGTCCGTGCCTGGCCGCCATGCCCAGCCCCCGGAGCAGCCCATCCCGCCGCGCCGCGCCCGTCCCCAGCCCGTCCCGCCGCGCCGCGCCCGTCCCCAGCCCGTCCTGCGCGGCCGTGGCGCTGCGCTCCCTGCTGGCCGCCGACCTGCGGGTCTCCCGGCGGCTGGGCGTGTGCGCCGGGGAGCGCTCGGCCTGGGGCAGCGCCAGGCCCCTCCTGCGGCTCCTCGAGGTCTCCGGCCACGGCGTGCCCTGGCTGGCGGGCACCCTGTATGGGCTGGGCCGCAGCGAGAGCCCGGCGGGCCGCGAGGTGCTGCTCAACCTGCTCTTCGGTGAGGGCCCGGGGGAAGGGGCGCCTCTCCCCTCTCATCACGGCTGGCTCGGGGCCCAGGCTCATCAGAGCAGCGGGCAGGGAAGAGGCTGAGTCACCACCACCACCACCCCTCCGTCACCTATCTGAGAGCTGCTTCCCGAGAGCCCAGGCTGGGGCAAGTCACCCAGCAGGGCGTATCACAGCCAGCCCTGATCTGTGCTGGTATCCCAGCCCTGCCACTCTTCTGCTAGCTTCCCAGGGCCCTGCCTCCCTGTGCCCCAGTGCAGGGGCTGCACTCAGCAGGGCTGGGAAACCAGTGTGCCATGCAACCCCTGCCCCATGGGGATCTGCCAAAGCTGCTGCCACAGAGACCGCTTCAGCAAGCTGGCTGCCAGCTCTTCCTGCATCTACACGGTTCCCTCGTCATGGCAGTCTAGGGATTCTGACTCGTGGTCAATTCAGGCAAATGTGCCTTCAGTCATCCTAGGGACACAGCACTTTTGGGGCCATCCCAAACATGCTTGGGATGAGATATCGGTGTTCTGAAAAGGTGGCACATGCTTTCTTCTGTTTCTATGAAACAGCTGTTCTGCCATATCTGGGCAGGTTCTGATAATCTAGATTTATATGGCCATAGTGCTGTGAGCTAGGGTACACCTGAATCCTCCAGCTGGAAATCCTAACCTTCAATGGGGAGTCCAGCATGCAGGGTTTCTGGAAGTGGCTTAAGTGGATGAATTTAGTATTTATGAAAGTAATTGAGGCACTAATAGTGCAGCTGCCTCCAGCTCAGCATATAATCATAGTCTTGGTTGAGTCACTCAGTTGTGCCAGTGAACCTGAATCCCAGCCTTAGCCACGCCCTGGTATTACAGCTTCCAGACCCTCCCAGTTGTAGACTGCCTTTCATCCCAAACTATGTGGTGATTTTGCAATGCATGCAAACCACTTTCATCATCACTTTATTGTCCATTTTGTTTTCAGTAGCAGCAGCACAGGAGCTGATGCCAGCTCCCTATAGCTCAGCATGTAATCACAGTTAAGGGAAGGCTACGTTTTAGTCATGGATATTTTTAGTAAAAGTGAACAAAAAAATTGACGCCCCATGACCTGTCCATGACTTGTACTGTATATCCCTAACTAAAATTTGGGCCAGGGGAGTTCTGGGAGGGCAGGCCGGGGGTGCTGCGGGTGCTGGGGCAGTAGTCTGGGACCCCCACTATTGCTGGGAGGTAGGCAGGCGGCGGAGGCACGTGGCCTGGGACCCCCACTGGTGGTAGAGGGTTGGCGGGGCTGTCAGGCTCCCTACCCACTCCTTGCAGCTCCCTAGAAGTGGCGGACATGTCCCTGCAGCTCCTAGAGGGGGGCTCAGCATGCTGCTCCTGCCACAAGCACTGGCTCCGCCACTCCCATTGGCCAGGAACCTCCACCAATGGGAGCTTCAGGGACGATGTCTGCAGGCAGGGGCAGTGCACAGAACTCCCTGGCCCCTCTGCGTAGGAGCTGCAGGGAAATGCCAGCCGCTTCCAGGGAACCCCCTGAGGTAAGCGCTGCCCTGCATCCCAATCCCCGGAGCCTCTTCCCACACCCAAACTGCTGCTGCTGCTGGCCCCAGGGCTCGGGCAGCCCCAGAGCCAACCACACTGGCCGCTGCAGAAGTCACGGAGGTCATGGAAAGTCACGGAGTCCATGACTTCTGTGATCTCTGTGACAGACATGCAGACTTAATCATAGTCTTGGTTGAGTCACTCAGTTGTGCCAGTGAACCTGAATCCCAGCCTTCAGCATGCCCTGGTATTACAGCTTCCAGACCCTCCCAGTTGGAGACTGCCTTTCATCCCAAACTATGTGGTGTTTTTGCAATGCATGCAAACCATTTTCATCACCAATTTCATTTTCAGTAGCAACATCCCAGGAGCTGATGCCAGCTGTGCCATTGCCCATTCTATAAACACAATGGACTGCTACGTCTGGCTCAATTGAAAAGATTGAAGGGTCATTGGGGTAGTAGTCATCAGTGCTTGTTTGAATGGGCCGCAAGCTCTTGCAGTACCATATCCTCTGTAGCTGTGATTCAGAGTTCCAGAATACAAGTCACAAGGTCATTCTCTTGCTTTCAAGCTAGCAGGGACATGGAGGCTCATGCTGGCTGAAGAAGCCAGAAGGTCAAGCTCTCCATGGAATAGCCTCCGAATCCCTGCTAGCTTGAAAGCAAGAGAATGACCTTGTGACTTGTATTCTGGAACTCTGAATCAGAGCTACAGAGGGTATGGTACTGCAAGAGCTTGCAGCCGATTCAAACAAGCACTGATGAGTTTCTACTACCCCAATGACCCTTCAGTCTTTTCAATTGAGCCAGACGTAGCAGTCCATTGTGTTTATAGAATGGTATCTGTTGTGGGACTTCTGAAGGAGGGAAGGAAGAGCGGGAATGAAGAGGATCTCAGGGTGGAAGAAGAGGCGTTCTCTACATATAAACCATCCTATCCTGGCAATTCCTGGCCTGCCAAAGAATTATACTGAAAATGAGCTGTTTTCTGTTGGTCTTAAATGTGCATTCATAGAATCATAGAATATCAGGGTTGGAAGGGACCTTAGGAGGTCATCTAGTCCAACCCCCTGTTCAAAACAGGACCTAATCCCCAACTAAATCATCCCAGCCAGGGGTTTGTCAAGCCTGACCTTAAAAACCTCTGAGGAAGGAGATTCCACCACCTCCGTAGGTAACCCATTGTGATGTGTAAGTAAGAATCTAGAGCTAGGAAAAGAGGTAACAGTTTAGAACAGGAATCCTTTCATCCCTTCTGAAAAAGGGATTTGTGGGAGCCCTGAGTTGAATGGTGAGCGGAAATGTTCCACAGAGGAGAAAAGCATTCTGGCACAATGAGCCAGATCTTCAGCTGGTGTAAATTGATGACGCTCCCTTGACTTTGAAGGAGCTAGGCTGACTTACACCTGCTGACAATCTTGCCCAGTGAGTTTGGAGGCTACTTGTGGAACAGCGAAGGGCATGGTACTGCACCAAGCCCCAGGTGGCACTAGGACGGCTGTAGGTACACACATAGCTAGGAAACCTATGCTATATTCTGCCCATATACGTGTTTTCATCATGCAGATGGAGTTGGTGCTCATCCTAAATATTTTGTTTGCTTATTACTTTGATTCTGGGTTTCAACAGCAGCATTATTTATCCCTGGGTTAGTTTTGGTTAATTTCTATGACACACAACGTGGAAAATGACCCCTTTGTATTTATCTCCTAGCTTTGGTGCTGGATTTAGTCCTGGTGGCGGTGGTGAAAGGGCTCGTGAGGAGAAGACGTCCCACTCACAACAAGATGGACATGTTTGTCACTATCTCTGTGGACAAATATTCCTTCCCATCAGGCCATGCTACCAGAGCTGCCATGGTGTGCAGATTTGTCCTACACCACCTGGTGCTTGCCATTCCTCTGCGGGTCCTGGTGGTTCTATGGGCCATCATTGTGGGCATCTCCAGAGTCATGCTGGGCAGACACAACGTGACAGACGTGGCCTTTGGCTTCATCATGGGCTACATGCAGTACAATGTGGTGAAATACTTCTGGCTGTCGCCCCTGAGTGCACCCGCTCTCTTTGGAGCGTGGAATCAGTGATGGCCATAATGAAAAGGAAGAGGCACACATTGCAGTGTCTTATGCTGCTCAGAGAGCATGAACCGGGACTGGATGAAAGAATCATCATAAGCCTCATCTGACAAGCAAGATTGACAATATCAACAACATCATGCTTCATTCTGCGGGATATGTGGACTCAGGCTGGGACAAAATGAGATCTGTTGGAAAGCTATTCTTGGTGCCATCTTGCTCTCAATGTGCTGCTGGGCCAAAACATGTACCAGCCCATACGGTTGCACTGGCCATCCCAGGATACGATCGCTCCACATCTCCAGGTGCTGTAGAAGTCGGACGGAGATCTGCATATTAGCCAAGCAGCTAATTCTTATTTTCTTGGTATTTAAGAACATGCATCAGTAAGGTCTGTGGTTAGTAGAAATACTGTAAATCAGCACACAGCAGAGGATGCCTGTAGTATAGCTGGCTTACTATCTCATATAGCAGAGGTGGGCAAACTACGGCCCGCGGGACCGTCCTGCCCGGTCCTTGAGCTCCCGGCTGGGGAGGCTAGCTCCCGGCCCCTCCCCAGCTGTCCCCCCTTCCCCCGCAGCCTCGCTGCGCCACACCGCCAGCGCTCTGAGCGGCGGGACTGGCTCTGGCCGGAAGCTCCTGCCGCTCTGAATGGCATGGTAAGGGGGCGGGGAGCAGGGGGGTTGGATAAGGAGCAGGGAGCAGTGGGTGGTTGGGTGGGTCGGGAGTTCTGAGGGGGGTAGTCAGGGGGTGGGAAATGGGAGGGGGCGGATAGGAGGCAGGGGCCAGGCTGTTTGGGGACGCACAGCCTTCCCTACCCGGCCCTCCATACAGTTTCGCAACCCCAATGTGGCCCTTGAGCCAAAAGGTTTGCGCACCCCTGTCATATAGCATAAATAGTAGATGTGACTTCTTATAAATATTGTTAGATAGTTACTTCCTGAAAACAGTCCCTCTGTGCTGTAAATGTACTAATTGGTGCTGTTGCGGCTGATTAATAGTGGGTGTGCCCCCTAGTGGCTTTAGTACATTATTCTGACTTGACCCATTTGTGGGGTGGGTGCACTTCCTCTGCTGCCTCTTCTATAACCTTGAGATTACCAAGGTTTTGTAAATCGATTCTTTCTCCTTCTGAAGCAGCCTGCCCCTCGCTTGCCAGCTACATTCCAGTTACAGAGCCTCACTTTGTCAAGTGGGTGGCTGGTTGGAAAGGTGAAGGCATCTGCTTTTGAATATGTTAGGAATTGGCAATTTTGGGAGTGGAAATGCACAAATAGGGTTTTAATAAAGTGTGGAATGAGTACTCTGGGGTATCTGTACCAGCTCTCCTTTAGGCAGGGTGCAGTTTGTCACTGCAAACAGGAAAAGGCTGTCCTAGCAGTTGGGTAAGCAGAGCTCCCTTTCATGTATTCTTCTGTCATCAGAGCAGGGCATTCGAGCACAGTTACTCCCTCTTACACCTCAGTTGAAAGGCAGACAACATGCAAACAGTTAATGCCACATGAGGACACGTGGTGTAGACTGTTTAGGTCTTTAAAAATAAATAAGCTCCATTGAGATCCTGATCTCAGGTATGTAGGCCCCAATTCAGCAAGAGGCTTCAACATGTTAGCTGGTGACTATTCCCATTGATTTCCATGGGATTATTCATGTTCTAAAATTTCGGTATATTGGTTATAGCACTGCTGTCCACTACAGGAAAAAAAACAATCAAAATAACAGTGGAAGTGATGTGTGCCAAACTATATTTTGTTATTTTTGTCTATTCTATGAAGCTGATTGTATCTAAGCAAAATCAATTCTACAATAAATGGAGCTCTATGCTTGCTGAGACAAATAGGAAAGAACATAAATGTTGTTGTGTAGAGTGGTGATGAAAAGGAAATTAACAAAGTAGCCAAAGAGGCAGAAAATAAATTCTTTAGCTAGAGCACTGGTGGGAAGTTCTTCTGGGTCTGTTAGGCCTCCAACAAGGAAAAGCTATGCAAATAGTTTCTTTGCATAGCCAGTGAAGAGGAAATACCCACTAGATAGTTATTCTTTTGGGGTTGTGGAGGGAAGGCACAGTATCTGAATTGAAAAAAGAGATTGCAGAACTACTTGAGAAATTAAATTCCCAGGGGCATATTGTATTCATGCAAGAGGTCTGGTGGAAAGAAAAAACTAAGGTCACTTAAAAAAAAAAATGTGCCATGCAGTGTAATGTATCCTTAAAACCAGTTACTGTACCAGGAGTACTAATGATCTATTCCAGTATGGCAATTCCTGTTTTCCTAAGCACCTGAGAGATGTACAGATAAAGGGGTGGGGGGAATATTAAAGTAAAAATAACAAATCTGTGATCTAGCTCTGCATTCCTCCAGTACATCAGTCATGTGGCCTTGAAGATGGACATGTGTAGGAATGTGTGGAGAACTGTCTTGTCCTTATAAATCTAATATAAAGGATATGACACCACAAAGGTGTATTATCCCATAGAGTTACCTCAAGAGATGAGCCTGTAAAGCTTTCTAATATCCCCGAATGCACCATATGGTAAACATACTTTGGAATAGAAACAAGACTTCTGAGCTTTGTGAGTTAGTATCTAGCTTGATGACTTTGTGGTGCCAGGTTGTGTAAAAAGTCTGCAGGTGAGCAACAGTGCTCTTGCCTAAAAGGTAAAGATTGTGACGGGGAGAGGATGTGGGTGCCATTGCCTTGTTCAAGAGGGATGAATTCAGACTGGAGCAGGTGCACAGAAGGGTTACTAGGATAATCAGGGGAATGGAGAGCCTGTCTTACACGAGTTTCAGAGTAGCAGCCGTGTTAGTCTGTATTCGCAAAAAGAAAAGGAGTACTTGTGGCACCTTAGAGACTAACAAATTTATTTGAGCATAACCTTTCGTGAGCTACAGCTCACTTCATCAGATGTAGCTCACAAAAGCTTATGCTCAAATAAATTTGTTATTCTCTAAGGTGCCACAAGTACTCCTTTTCTTTTTGTCTTACACGAGGAGACTAAGGGCACATCTTCACTACAGAGCTAAATCAGCACTGCTGCAATCGATGCAGCGGCATCGATTTAGCAGGTCTGGTGAAGACATGCTAAATTGATGGGAGAGTGCTCTTCCATTGATGTCTGTATTTCACCTCCCTGAGAAGCATAGGGTAAACTGGTGGGAGAGCATCTACCATCGACACAGCACGGTGTAAACACTGCGGATCTAGGTACGTTGACTTCAGTTACATTAGTCACATAACTGAAGTAGCATAGCTTAGATTGATTTGCCACAGTAGTGCAGACCAGGCTTAAAACAGCCTGACTTGTTTAGCTTAGCAAAAGTCATGCTGAGAGGGGATCTGATTGCTCTCTATAAACACTTTAGGGGTAAACACCAGGGAGAGAGAAAAGCTATTTAAGCTAAAGGACAGTGTTGACTCAAGAATAAATGGGGATGAACTGGCCAAGAATCAGTTTAGGCTGGAAATTAGAAGAAAGTTTCCTACCATTAGAGGAGGGTGGTTCCAGAGCAGCCTCCCAATAGGAGCAGTGGGGCAAACAACCTAACTAGTTTTAAGATGAAGCTTGATAAGGTTATACACAAGATGATCTCATGGGGTTGCCTGCAATAGCAGGGGACTGGACTCAGTGACCCAGGAGGTCCCTTCCAGTCCCACGTTGCTATGTTTACAGATGTAATTAGCTCTCCAATTTTAAGACAATTGGGCAATAACTGACCTCGCTGAGAAGATACAGAGATATTAGAGCAGCTGGTTTCTTGTCAATGGTCACATCCCAACCTCCATACAAAGAGGGTGAAAGCACTTCATTCCAAACTCTGGTTTTGATGCTCTCATAACTTAGGCTTTAAATTGCTGTTTTTCTGCTCAGCTAAAGTGAATTCACTTGGAAAGCTTCAACAAGATGATTTTAAGTGAGCCTTGGAGTGTGCACTTGTCCCTTTTAGACAAATACTGGATGCTGTTTTCATTCTTATGGCTGTGCAGGCCCATTTTTCCTAAAATGTTTTTTGCTCCCCCGTTGTCATCTGAAAGGATCCTGCAGCGGTCCAGAACAAGTCCACAGAACCTTGTGGTCCAGGTTACACAATGCTACTTGTGATGTAAAAATCAGTGTGGATACCTTACCCTTGTCCATCACTAGTGCGAACACAGATATGAACACAGCCTCCATCCCCTGTCCAGATTGGAAAGCAGAGGAGTGGGGTCAAAATATCCATAGAATTGAGATCTAGTTGGACTTGTCCTCATTTCTGTCTTCTAAAAAGAAAGGAAGTTCTAGCAGTGACAATAATTGCCATATTTTAGAGTAGCAGCTGTGTTAGTCTGTATCCGCAAAAAGAAAAGGAGTACTTGTGGCACCTTAGAGGCGACCAATTTAAATTTGTTGGTCTCTGAGGTGCCACAAGTACTCCTTTTCTTTTTGCGAGTAATTGCCATAGTTGGTAGCTAATATCTAGAGATGGTTTACTAAGCAAGTTTATACTCTCAGCTTGTTCAGACAGATGTAAGGAGACTGTCAGAGTGTAATCTATGAATTAAAGATAGTTTTGGGTGCCATGCCTGCCAATCTTTATGGCTTTCAGATCAGTTTTCTATATCTTAAAATGCTGTGCTTTGTTTCCTCCCCCCGTTATGTGAAAGAACCACACAAACTGTAGGGAAATGGACTCTACCCAAAGTGCTGGTATGTGCACAGAATGCAGGTAGAGTACATAAACAGAAATGTTTGTCTCTGATGCTTCAGTGGCTGTAATCTTGGATATTACTGGCTGTTTCCAGAGAGGGGTGAATTTTTATTTTAAATTGAAAGTGTCCCTTTAGCAATCCCCGTCAATAACTTGTCTGATGTTCACTGCAGGGTATCATTTGTCCTTCTGTAAAAAGTTTGGTATAAACATTACAAGTTCTCTGTGCCTTCACTGTCTGGGTGACTCTTAGGTGTGTGCCGGCATCACTAGCAAGAGAGTAACTATATCTTGCCAAAAGATACAGGACAGAATAGGAACTAATTCTCCATCCTCCTAAGGCCCCTTTACAACACTCTGGTGGCATAAAAGAGGCAGAATCAGGCACTGGGAAGTAATCCCTCCATAAGGGGGTTTCCCCACTATTGCAGCCCTACACCTCTCCACTCCAACAGGTTATAGACATATGGGACTGTCAGCTCCAGAATATGGGGAGTCCAAAGTTGGCTAAAGCTACTTTCTCCCCCTGCCTCCCTTCCTGTTCCTGCGCTCAGCTCTGGGGAATGAGGGACTTAGTGCATTCGATTTCTAGATATACTGGAGTAAAATGTGGCCTAAATAGTTGAAGAATTCTAAGATGTTTACAGAAAATTCCTTTGAGTGTTTTTTTTTAAGTATGTATTAACTCTAGAAGCCTAAAGGCCAATATCACATACTATCCTACATTTTTATACTTCTCATCATTTGTAATATTGTCAGAGCTTAAAAATAAAATGACACAGCCAAGGCTAACACTGCTAGCTTAGCAAATTAAGCGCTTGTCTTTTACTGGAGCTTGAAATGCACCTAATGTTCTTATTTACTTTGTGGACTGTGTGTTGTACAATGTGTGATGGCTACAGCTCTGGGAGTGGGGTTTGTAAACCTCAAGCCCCCTCTGCTAGGTACAGTTCTGTGTACTTCCTATATAAGCAATGCCTATTTCCCCAGCTGTATGTTAACACGCTCCACC